TTCTAGGGGTTCCGTTTCAATAACGCAATGCAAAACTGGCTCGAGCCCCCACCCAGTGACCTGGGACAATTACATACCACCCCCTGGGTGCCTCTAAGAGGCAATACTTCCCCTCTCGCAAGCACAGAGTCTGAGTGTAACAGAAAATGTTTAATAACATGAGGTAAATGACATCAGCATTAAATTGGAAAAACACCACAAACAGAATTCATAACACAAACCATGAGCAAAAAAACCCACCCCAGCAAGTTGGGCTGTGTCCTTTCCCTTGGGTTCTTGAAACCAGCGACCCAAGGATCACCAAAGTCCCAAAGACCAAGAACCCCCCAAAGTCTCTGTCCCTGGTCAGTGCAGCCCCAGAGTTTGGGGGGGGCACGCAGGGTGTTAAGGGGCACCTTACGTGATCCGAGGCCGATGGGGTTCTGCCACAGCCTTCACCACGAGCTGCTCCACTCCACCAGCTGTCCCGTGAGCTGCTCCCGCCGTCCCACGAACTGCTCTGGCAGCTGCTCCACTCTGCTCACCGACCTGTGAGCCGCTCAGCTCTGCTCCACTTCAGCCGTCCCTTGGGCCGCTCCCACAAGGCTCCGCTCTGCTCTGCTCACGGACCTGTGAGTCGCTCAGCTCCACTCCAACCGTCCCAGAAGGCTCCACCCTGCTAGCTGCTCCACCAGCTGCTTAGCAATATAGCTTCAGGCTCCCCCACTAGTTAAAACAGCCTCAGTGATCTCAGTTCTTTTGTGATTTCAGCTTTTAGCAATTTCAGCGCATAGTAGGGGAGCCCCAGTGTTAGTGCACCATTGGCCCAAAGTGAATTCAGCTCAGCAGCCTGTAACTAGACTTCTAATGGAAATTTGTTAGTCTCTAAAGTTAGCTCTGACATTCAACAGTGGAGAGAGGAGGTAGTGCAACTGGTGTTTCAACCCCTCAGAGAGGGCCCATATCATCAGATACAAACACCTGTCCCCATCCTCTCTTTCTATTCACTGGGTTTTGTAAACCATGCCCCTTGTCAAGCAAGTGCTACTTAGGTAATGGTGAAGGACTCACTCAGTCCTTCTGTCATACAACAGTTTCACTGGCCTTGATTCACAGAATCAGGGTAACAAAACTTTATTCTTCTGCCCCAATAACAGAGAAAACTGGGGATCCCACACCAGCCAAAGTAACCACTTTGAGTTGCTGTTGTTTCATGCCAGGCGAGTGGGTGTGCCTATGCAAACAAGATCAGCCCCTGGAGTTCTTTTCCACACTCGCCATAATTCACCACCAGATGTCAGGGTAGAGCTCATCCTGACTCTGCTTACACATATAATTCAAAGGGCTATCCTCAGAGGGTTTTACCAGAGATCCACCCATCTGCCTGCTGACACTCTAACAGAGAATTACACAGAGAACAGAGGGAATTATGGCCTAATAGGATCCTATTACAGGAATTTCTACAGGGGACGGGACAGAAGGATCCCAATTTGACCTCAGAGCTTCATCGCACGCAATGGCTTCCACTCTGAGGAATTACAAATGAGAGGCTCAGTTCCGTCCACACACCTAACGCCCAAATGTATAAGACAGAAATTCATTAACCGGTTAACCAGAACAGAACCAGACCAGAACCAGAACCAGATAGTGTCTCCTTATCCTATTAGGACTCACCTTATCAGAACAAGAACCCCAGGGGCTGGGGTGAAGCAGAGTAAAGGGGCTAAATATCCCATTGGCGCCATTCCCAGTTCGCCGCAGCCATCCGGAGTCCAATGTCCGAGCTAGGAGAGTCCTGGCGGAGTCACCAGAAACTGTCACCGAAATATTGGGTCCACCTAGCTGAGAGCCAATAACAGCCAGACAGGGATAAGGAAGAGTTGCTTTATTCTGCAGAAGAAAGGAGAGCCTTGAACCTTGGTACAAAGACTCTGTCTTACATACATTTTACAGATCCTTTATACACATTCAGACAAAGGCCCTTGCCATGTTAACACTTGATTGGTGGTTGTCAGACCTGTGCTTTTGCTATCTGGTCAGTGAAAACCGGCTTGGGACCAGCTCTAACTACCTTAAGGCCTTGAAAGGGAAGACAGTTGAAAAGTTCAGGCTACTGTGTACTTGAAGTGTCTGCTTCCCCCTAATGGCCGGTGGCTGACATAACGGCTACTAGCTGTTAATGGGGGGGGGGTCACTAGTAACTTTCACAATTAGACCAGTGCTTTTGACAACCCAATCTCTCTTTTCAGATGACATTACACTTGATGCCAGAACAGCCCACCTAAACCTCTCCATTGCTGGGGATAAGAAGAGTTTGAAACATGAAGCCCAACCTCAAAAACTTCCACCAAATCCAGAGAGGTTTGATTCGACTGTCTGTGTGTTGGGTTTTGAAGGATTTTCTTCTGGAAAGCACTACTGGGAGGTGGACGTTGAGAAGATCAGTGACTGGGACCTGGGGGTGGCCAGAAAATCAATACAGAGAAAAGGAAAACTTTCCCTGTCCCCTAAAGAGGGATTCTGGGCTCTGGGTTTCAGTGGCAGAGATTATTGGGCAAAAACAGATCCATGGACTCAGGTCACGGTGCAGAAAAAGCCCCAGAAAATTGGAGTTTACCTTAGTTACCAAGATGGGTGGGTGACATTTTTCAATGTAACTGACATGTCTGTGTTGTTCACATTTAATGATTGTTCATTCTCAGGAGAGGTTTATCCATTCTTTAAAAATTCCCACAAAGAAACAACAATGAGAGTTTGTTCAATTAAAGAAGAGGAATCAATTTAAAATGTTGTGATGTTCCGTTTTGTTGACCAAAATTTAGCCAAAGCCCTGTGCTGCTTCATGGCACTGTTGACCAAACTGAATCAAAGTAACAGAATGCTTTGCAGTTAGAAGAAAGGTGATCTGGAAGAACATTCCCTGTGAAATTATATTTACAAATATTGCTAATGCTGCAGGTGTGGCTCCCCAAATAAGGAATGGAACTGTACTGGAATCTCACAAACAGAGCTATTAATGATGAAAGTAATTTTTTTCATTGCTAACTTCCAGTTTATCTGGATTAGGTGTATTAGCAGCTAAGAGTAAGCAAATAATGTCCTAAACTAATGTTTCTCTGCTAAACTGAATAACCAGTCTTTGAGTCAGGTATAAATACAGATGGGGAATGCACCCGATCTTGCGAAAGTTTGACCAGTTGCACTAGTGTCTTCAGGATGGGTTGGTAATTGACTTTTCCTTTCTGTATTATGTTGTACTAATTTTGATTAATAATTTTTGATTAATAAAAGTTGATTGAGCCTAGTTATTTGACATCTCATTATTGGTTTATGTCAAACCCATAACAATTTGCACTGATGTTTCTTTGGAAAATAAAAGATTAGCTGTGTATTCAGGGATGCTGGAACAATTTTTATAGTGAGGATGCTGACAGCCATTGAACCAAACTGTAAACCCTGTATATAATGGAAACCACTTGAAGCTAGGGGATGCGGCAGAACCCCCTGCATCCCCGCACCCCTAGTTCCAGCACCTATGCTGTATATTGTTTGTGGTGCCATCGTATCTGTATGTTTTCCAAAAATTAGTGTTCAGCCTCTTGGCAATTACCGATATCTGTAATCTGTGTAACCTTTTAATAACATGATGTTTCTGACACAGAATATTAGGATTTTACTGAGGAAAACAGAGCCCTGTTTCATATCATTAGTTTTGAAAACACAATAACACCAAGCTTATTACTAAATTTCAGATTAATGTCTAACTAATAACTATAATCTGGGTCTATAGTCAGATGAATAAATCTATTTGCATATGTCCCTCCCCCTGTCAGTAGGGATCACAGAAGCTCTGCTCCTGCCAGCACTGGCCAGTAGCCTTAAAGACATTTTCACAATTCACAGGTAAATACAGTTCAGAGGAGGTGGGTAGCCATCCTGTTGTTATTCTGATAGAGAGGATGTTCCACCTATGGATGCAACTATACCACATCCTTCTTTCCATAGCATCTGTTGATAGATGTTTGGCTGTGTGTGTGTTTGTTCGCTCTGTATGCTGCCCCAGCTCTGTGCAGATAGGAGAGACAGCAGACTTTGATTGAACTCCCCAATAAATCCACAGAATTGGTCTTCAGCTAAGGAACTTGGTCAGATTTATTGCTGATGAAGAACAGTGCTAATGCCCCAGCTCAATGGTTACAGGTACACTAACACATGTATGCTCGCGACAGTGGACCAGCTCAGTTAGTGGCGGGACTTTCCACTATCCCCTCGGTCAGCCCCTGACACCCCTCTGTGGTACCTCTTTTATACCCCTATACAAACAAGTTATTCATTGCCCCCTTACTTATCTAGGTGCTATCCTCTGACATATCTAGGTGCTACCCATTACCTTGTACATGTTGGTTCGATCAAAACATCTCGATCCATCATGCTGTCATCCTGACCTTATCTTTAAGATGGGTCAACGTGTTCCTGTTATTTTTGGGGAATGTGCTGGTATCAGGATGTTCTGGTACCACCCTCCTGGAATGTGTTTGTGTGCATGGCCTGTGCCTAGCACCTCTTAGGAATGTGTGTTTCTATAATATCAGCCCTATTCTTGCCAGATTCTGTGATCAGGCCCCCTTACAACCTGACTTTTTTTTATATCAGCAAAGCTTTGATCACTACTTTAGTTCAGGCCTCAGGCCTCATACCAGGCCTCTGATACATGGGCTTATGTTTCAGGCCCTTTTCCTACTACAGTATGTAGTGTACATACACAGGTAGTCTCCCTACGATAGCTATAAATAACAGCCTAGATAGTGAGAGACAGCTTAGGCAAGTGGAGTAAAGACACAAATGTAAGGTGCCAGTATATACCCGAGTACATACACTACACTGCTCTTTACTTGCCCAAGCTGTGCTGGAACCTTTCACCGATACATGTAGCAACACACCGCAGTGTGGATGTGCTGAGTTTTTCACTGCCAACTGTAACTACATGTCTGCTATACGGCACCGCCAGTGGCATGTGGTGTAACAAACATGTGACTACCTCTATGTGATCTGCCGGGCACAGGTTGAGATACTTGTAGTTATATACAGCCCTCCAGATGGAAAAATACTATCAACCCAGAGAGGAACTAATAGAATTGCTCCCCCAAACCACACTGGAATTCCCCATATTCTTGTCCTCGGACACATCTACCTTCACTTACACAATACAGATGGTACCATAGTACTTGATCTCATTGTCCACATGGGACTCTCCAAGACAGTCTTTGGACCGACTCTGTACCTGCAGACGTACATTCAATTATATCTTCAATCTAGGACTGGAAATCTGAGTTCTCATAAGTGTACCACACTCCTGATCTGATCACCTCCTCATCCAGGCAGAGGTCAGAGCTTTTCGTCCTTCCCACCTCAGTAGCAAACATTCAAATTTGGTCACCCCTTGTAATAAACAGATAGTTAAGGGTTAATGCCTCTTTTTACCTGTAAAGGGTTAAGAAGTTCACCTAGCCTAGCTGACACCTGACCAGAGGAACCAATGGGGGGATAAGATGTTTCAAAAGAAAGGAGGGAAGTTTCCTTTGTTTAGTTTCAGTTTAAGTTTTGACCGGAGCGGGAAAGCTCCAGAATTCAGCCTCTTATCAAGTAGTGAGTATTAGTGAAGGAAATAAATAGGTTTATGTTTATTTTCTTTGTAGCTTGTCTTGGGCATTAGGGAATAATCAAATTGGGTATTTTTTAAGTAACTAAGTTTTTGCACAGGGGAACATCCTCTGTGTTTTGAATCTGTTGTCTTTGAGAGTAGCTGGTATGCTAATCTCTCCCAGAGGGTTTTCTTTTACCTTTCTTTTCTTTAATTAAAAGCCTTCTTTTTAAGAACCTGATTGATTTTTCCTTGTTTTAAGATCCAAGGGGGTTGGATCTGGACTCACCAGGAATTGGTGGGGGAAGGGAGGGGGGATGGTTAATTTCTTCTTGTTTTAAGATCCAAGGGTTTGGACCGGTGTTCACTGGGAAATTGGTGAAGAAGTCTCTCAAGGCTACCCAGGGAAGGGAGTTAGTATTTGGGAGTGGTGGCAGCAAAACCAGATCTAAGCTGGTAATTCAGTTTAGAGGTTCACATCAGGTCCCCATATCTGTACTCTAAAGTTCAGAGTGGGGGTGAAACCTATGACACCCCTGAAGACTACTGAACTCTCTAAGTTTTCAACTTACCCTAAGAGACCAAGCCCCACAATTACAAGGCCAAGGTGCTGATGACTTAACACAATCACCGGATGTCCACTCTCAAATGCCTTGGTCCCAAGCTGCCCACTCCCCCCACATCAACTGGGACGACCACAACGCTTCACAGATGAACTTCAGCAGATGAAGTGCATAGGCAGAAAGTTAGAACATCACTGGAGAAAAAACCTTTTTGAATCCCTCCACCAGCAGCACAAATAACACTCACAGAACCAGGCCTCTGCAGCAAGCAGGTGAAATAACCCTTCAGCTCCCTTTCAGTGAAGGCAGCAAGTGAACGGATGACATCCGCTCTGTGATACCTCTTTATACCCCTATACAAACAAGTTATGCGTTGCCCCCTTACTTATCTAGGTGCCACCCTCTGACAAAAGGAATGGCTGGAGGGGGATTGGGGTGCAGGCTCCAGTTGGGTGGCGCTTGCCTCAGGTGTCTCCTGGGCGGCAGTGCAGCAGGGCTAAGGCAGGCCCCCTCAGATCCCATTTGCTGTGGTTCCCATACAAGGGGAGATGCGAAGCCGGTGCTGGGGGTGGGACCAGCGCGTGGAGCTTACCTGATTGCCCCTCCACCTAGGGGCTGCAGGGACATGCCGGCGAGCCGGCACTCGTGGCTCCAGCCCTGTGGTGGGGGCACTGAGGCTCAGGGCTTCCAGCCCACAGCACACACTGCAGGCCTGATGAAATGAAACAGCGGGCCAGATTTGGCCTATGGGCTGCAGGTTTCCTACCTCTGCTATACAGGAAGGATGGGCTTCAAAATGGACAGCTAGTAGTTCTCCAATTTCATATATGAGTTCCTTAAGTGAATACCATCTGTTCCTGGTAATTTATTACAGTTTAATTTTTTTATTTGTTCCAAAACCTCCTCTATCGACACCTCAATCTGGGACAATTCCTGAAATTTGTCACCTAAAAAGAATGGCTCAGGTAACAGGTTTGGGACTCTCCATCACATCCTATGCAGTGAAGACTGATGAAAAGAATTAATTTAGTTTCTCTGCAGCAGCCTTTTCATCTTTGAGTGCTCCTTTAACACCTGTATCCTCCAGTGGCTCCACTAATTGTTTGGCAGACTTCCTTGCAATAAAGTACATTGCAAACCCTCATGGTTGAGAAGATTCACTTGATTTATGTTTGGAAGATGAAGTGGTGTTGTTTGGCTGACTCTGCAGACAGCTTGAAACAACTTTCACCACTTACCACTAATCTCATTGGGTGTCAACCCTAAAGCTTCCTGACACTTTCAGTGTCAGCATGAAGTATTTGATTGCTTATTTCAGCAGATGGAATAAGTGGAAGTGAAGTACACATGATGAATTGAGAGCTGTTTCAGGGAAAGAATTACTGAGGAAAGTGGAGGAAAAGGGAAGGGAAGAGGAAGAGAAACAAAAAGATGGGGAAGGAAAAGAAACAAAGGGCAGAATTCACTCAAGTTGTAAAGGAGGCAGAATTTGCTACTGATTGAGACTGAAGGCAAGCATAGGTTCCTGAACAGGAAATAATGAACGGGATTCACTACATGTTTAGTTGCTACATAAAGACCAGATTCTACTCTTGATCTCTGCAAACCTCCATTTTGCCATCAGTGGAGATCCACTGTGGACTGAGGGAGTGTGAAGACCTATTTTTTTATCCCATCCTATGAACTGTAATTAAAAATGGCATTCAACAATCTCCAAAGAAGGAGTTTGGCATCCCTGTGTTCCACAATAAGACCCTGACCCTGATCCCATGGAAGTCAGTGACCAAACTCACTCCTGGGACTTGGGCAAGTCTGACTCACTGCTTTGGAAAATCCTCCAACCCCTTTGACACCCTCACTAGGAGTGCACAGCTAGACAGTTTGCCAGTGCAAAGTGCATTTGTAGAAAATTTGACTTTGTGTATTTATTTTACTGATATGCCTTAGGCAGAAAAGAGTGAGTTCACCTTACTTTGTGAATGGTGGCTGTCAAATTGATGAATAGAGGGGACTGGAATATATAGGGATTCTAAAT